GCCCTGGGGAGCGCAGGCCGGCGTCCCGGCAGGCCTTTCACCAGATGGAGAAAGAGAATTGCTAAATCTACAGAAGCTCCATGAGGATCAATGGACAGAGTGAATTTGAACTTGCTTACCAAATTCCTGAAACTAGTAATTCATGTGGCAACCCTTGGATCTTCAAAAAGGACTCTTGAAAAGCAAAATGCCTGATGTATTTTCACACTGTGTAAGAAGCAGATTTCTGCCTCCAGGAGGAGCAGCAAGACCTAGTTTTGAAAGTGGATTGTAAACACGGCATCTTAGAGATCCTTGGTCCAGGGCCTCACTTCACCAATGGGGAAAGTGGCTCAGGAATGGTTAGCTGTCTGGAGAGATGACACAGTGAGCAAAGTCCAGGTCATTCATCAATCATTAAGTTAATATAAGCACTTAACTCTGTCAGGCACTATGTAAAGTTCATTTTTTAATGGATTTGTGATTGCAGGATTAACAATGGTTTTCTACAGGATTTCTGATGGAAAGTTAGACATTTAGGAATATGTCCTTTGAAACATCAACAGCAGGAAAGGCAGCTTTTTCAGTCTTAAAAAGGCATCGTCAGCGCCCAGCATAATGACATTATCAGGTTAAGGCACTGCCCACAGTGCTGGCGTCTGGTACAGGCAGTTTCATGTTCTAGCTGCCCAACGTCCAGACCAGCTGCCCGCTAATGCACTGGGGGGGCAGCCCAAGGATGGCCCTGGCATTCACAAGGGAGACCAGCTGAGGCACATGGCTCCTGGTTTCTGTCTGGCCTGGCCCTGGCCATTTAGAAAGTGAACTGCAGATGCAAGATCTCCTTTGTTTTCTCTGTCTCTTAATTTATTTCTTTCCTTTTTTTTTTAAAAGTAATCATAAACACGTGATTATTCAAGAGGTGTCTTAAGGGTTTAATGCTTTAAAAAAAAAAAAACTCAAAAACTCAGGTATCTTTTATACAAGTAAGAATGAATAAAGTCCAAGATAGCTTCTTATTTGATTATAACTTAATGATTGGTACTTGTAAAGGTGCCAAAAAATGATGAAATGAATACCTGTTTCTTTGGACTATCCATGTGACAGATCTCCGTGACTACAAATAAACACCCACCCACCCCACCATGATCCTTGGATTATGTACAGGCAAGTCATGAGCAAATGTCTGGATTTGGGTCTTGTTCTTGCAATTAGTTTTGGCTACATGTATGCACTGAGACTCTTAAAATTTGCAACACTCCCTAAACTAGCAACGTTCACTATAAAATGGTCTTTATACTTGGCATCTTGAATTTTTTCTGGGAGATCCTGTTTCTCCTATTACACTTATCCTTAGAAAAGGCTAATGATGGGGCCTGTGCTGTGGCATAACAGGTTAGGCTACTACCTGCAGTGCTGGCATCTCATATGGGGGTTGTTCCAGTCCCTGCTGCTCCACTTCTGATCCAGCTCTCTGCTAATAAGCAGTGGAGGATGGCCCAAGTGCTTGAGCCTCTGCACCCATGTGGAGACCTAGATAATGCTCCTGGCTTCTTCCTGGCTCAGCCCCAGCCACTGTGGCCATCTAGGGAGTGAACCAGCATGAGGAAAATCTCTCCTCCTGGGAACTGTGTGTTACAGACTCTTCCATGGCAACTCTGGATCTGTTTGGCTCATCACACGCTCTGCTTTAAATCTGTCACCCAGGCAGGGTCTGTGCACTGGAAACTTGATTGCCAGTGGGAGAGGGTTGGGACGAGGGACCTAAAAGGCATCTTGGATCTTGAGTTTGTTACCTTCGTGAAAGGAGGAGTGACGTTACACGGGTCTGGGTTTGTCTCACCCTCTTCCCCCACTCTTTGCCTCTGGACCGTGGGATGACGCAAGGTCTTCAGATGCCAGAACCTTAACCTTAGGGGCTTCCCAGCCTCCAGACCACGTGAGAAATTGATTTCTGTACACTGTAAATCATCCATTCTGTTACTGCAGCAAAAAAAGAAGAACAAAACAAAAACAAAAAATCCGACTAGGTATTATTTCTCCCAGGCATTATTTAGGTTCAGAAATAATTTAAAGACACCATGTGTGATGGTAACAAAAGCTACATTTTAAAAGTTGGCCAGGGCCCGGTGCCGTGGCCTAGCGGCTAAAGTCCTCACCTTGAAAGTGCCAGGATCCCATATGAGTGCTGGTTCTAATCCCAGTGGCTTCACTTCCCATCCAGCTCCCTGCTTGTGGCCTGGGAAAGCAGTTGAGGATGGTCCAATGCCTTGGGACCCTGCACCCGCTTGGGATATCTGGAAGGAAGTTCCTGGCTTCTGGCTCCGGATCGGCACAGCACTGGCCGTTGCGGTCACTTGGGGAGTAAATCATCAGATGGAAGATCTTCCTCTTTATCTCTCCTCCTCTCTGTATATCTGACTTTGCAATAAAAATAAATAAATCTTTATATAAAAAAAAAAGTTGGCCACAGACTCTTACAACCATTCCAGGGACCCAAAGTTCATGACTTTACCAGGCAAAGCCAGTTTTCAGCAGTGGACTAATAGCAACGTCCATCCTCGCTGCTTTCCTACATCTTACAGTAACTGATGCTCTATGTGCCTCCGGAGCAACAGAATAAAGTGTATAAAGAAGAAAATCTGCAGTTTGGATAACAGATGCATTTCTCCTCGTCTCATTATTTTTACATTATCTAAAAGCAGTTATTGATTTAACATATTCTTGCCACATTCAAGATTTCACTCATGTTTCCAACTATCCTAGGTTGTACCTAAACTTAACATTCACAAATAAACACAAAGTGAAAGGAGATGAGGCAAAAATATCACACATTAGTCTGTTTTTATTAATGTTTTAGGAAAGTCTTAATTCAAATTATAGTTTGGTACCATTATTAATTTGCAATAGTTTATAATCCAAGTTGAAAACATATTCCAATCCTGACTGAGGAGGCATAGGCAGCTAAAAGCCAAATTCTCTTTTCCTCATTTTTAAATATGTAAACTGGTTATTCATAATGTTTTGCTTTAGATAAGTCACTGAATTAACATGAAAAATAAATGACTGATTTTCAGTCTGAGTGTAAAACGCTCTTCTGGTAGGGACAAATAGGCTTTTGCTCTTCAGGTAGGGACAAATAGACTTTTGCAATACACAGAATCAAAGCAGTGGGCAATATTAAAATAAAACAGTTAAAATTTGGGCCCGGTGTCAAGGCTTAGCGGCTAAAGTCCTCGCTTTGAAAGCGCCGGGATCCCATAGGGGCGCCGGTTCTAATCCCGGCAGTTCCACTTCCCATCTGGCTCCATGCTTGTGGCCTGGGAAAACAGTTGAGGATGGTCCAAAGCCTTGGGACCCTGCACCCATGTGGGATACCCGAAAGAGGTTCCTGGATCCTGGCTCCGGATCGGCACAGTACCGGCCATTGTGGCCATTGTGGTCACTTGGGGAGTAAATCATTGGATGGAAGATCTTCCTCTCTATCTCTCCTCTCTGTATATCTGACTTTGTAATAAAAATAAATAAATCTTAAAAAAAAATAAAATTTAAGAACACTTCTTGGGGGCTGGTGCTGTGGCCTAAGGGATTAAGTTGCCACCAGTAATGTCTGCATACTATACAGGTGCTGGTTGGAGTCCTGACTGCTCCACTTCCCATCCAGCTCCCTGTTACTGTGCCTGGGAAAGCAACAAAGGTGGGCTAAGCCTTTGGGCCACTATGCCTATGTGGGAGGCCCGGAAAAAGGGCCTGGCTTGGCCTGGCCCTGGTCATCGTGGCCATTTGGAGAATGAAATAGGAGATGGAAGTGCTAACTGTTTCAAACAAATAAATCTTTAAAAAAGAAATTTTCTGTCTTCTGTCCTGTTTACATCTGTATTTAATCACTAAATATTTAAGATATGGCTATATACTATGTTAATATCATGGTGAGAAATTTTACTTTACAAATCCTCCTGGCTCAAGCTATTTTTTAAAAATTGACTTTACTAAAAAAAAAGAAAATCAACTTTACTGTTTAGAACATTTTGGATCTGCAGAAAAATTAAAGTAGCATAGAGTTTCCCACAATCTTTCTCAGTGTCTCCTGTTATTATATTAACATCTTAAATCAGGTATGATAGACATTGTAGAATGAATGAATGAATATATTGATCCATTATTAACCAGAACACATGGCTTCTTCAGATTGCCTTCCTGGTTACCTACAGTCAGTCCTCTTTCTACTCCAGGCTCCCTCCTGGACACTGTCCTCCGGACTGCAGTGCTGTTTCTGGCTTTCCTTGGTTTTGATGACTTGGCTACTTCTGAGGAGCATGGTAAAGTACGGGGAAGGAGGCCTTTCTCATGAGACCAAAGCGACAGGCCATGGAAGAAGGGTCTGCTCAGTGTAACCTCTTTATGAGCGATTCCATCACCTCCTGGCCATGTTAGCACTGTGCCTCCTCTGCAGGATTAGCAGCAGCAAGGACAATGACATTGTTTTATAAAAATAAAGACTGCCTTAAAAAAATGACTGCGAGGTAGATAACATAAGACAGCAAATAGTAGTCATTTAATTGTCTTTCCCAAGCATGCATTTTTTTGTATAGCTATGACAGGTGAAAATGCACATGTAATAGCTAGTTGAGTTCTGTGTATCTTGAGGTAAAAATTGCTATAAATGAAATAAATGTTATCCCAGTACACTGATGTTTTTAAAGCATACGGTCATGTTTTGGTTTACAAAATAAAGAACATAGAAGCGTTGTCCAGGATCTAGCCCAGGAATCAAAAAGAGCCCATCAAGTCCCTCATTTACGGTAGCAGATCCTTCAAGAAGCGTCTTCCAAGTGGAGGTTCTTAAATCGCAGTGTGGATCACATGCTGCTGAAGGGCTTGTGCAAGACTCCCATTCTCCCCAGGGGTTCTCTGATTCCCCGGGCCTGGGGGAAAGCCTTAAGAGGGTCCCCTTCTGGCAAGTCCCCAGGTGTTGGTGAAACTGCTGGCCTGCATCACAGCATGAAAACCACTCCTTCAGAGCACAGGAAAATGACATTTATTCAGTGTCTGGGATGGTGAAGGTGTTTCACATACAATAGTTAACTCTTACAGAATCTTGGCAAGGCAATAGGATTAACCCTGTTCTGAGTGGGGGACCTGCGGCTTGGAGCGACTGAAGAGTTACCTGAGATTTCAGCAGAAAGACCACAATTCAGATCTCCTTCCAACTGTCACATCCACTTCTAGCACAACAAACTGTAGTCTTCACACTGGCCAAAGGACTGAAAAGACTGTGTCTTTGGCGTGCTCTTTGGAAGAGAAAACCTGTACTTATACCTGTGCTCAGCGATCCAGGTTAGCATCTGGGCCATGGCTCTGAGGCCAGCGAGGACCCACTTACCTCCGAATGCTAAAATCATCAAGGGGCAAGTAAATCTACTAGAGGTACACAAAACATCAAGAATGTACTTAATACATTATTGATACTCCTTAGTTAATATTATCTTATTATTCCTTGCAGAAAATATACATTTAAATAAAAGTCCTTAAAAGTGTACTCTAAGTTTAAAGCATCATAACTATTCTTGAATGTCTGCCAGTGTACATTCCATTGCTAATCGACCGCTACTCACTTTGGTATGGGAGCAACACAGCACGATGGTCTACAGAAAAATGCTCTGATGATATTAAAAGTGTATCCCCCTCTCACAAAGCCAATCAAAAGCAATGACATACACAGCAAAATAAGAAACTTAAGTCTTGGGAAAAGTTACACATTGTGCAGTGAACACAACAAAAATGAAGTTGCCAATGACACAAATTTCTGTCCGTTTTTTTATGCTTTTGTGGGAAAAGGACATTGAGACATACGTTTGTTGAACTGCGGACTTCAAATAATTAATAGAGATCTGAATTATAGAACGACAAACCCCCTCACCCAACTCTATACTTCTATCAAAACATATTTTCTGTAAGAAAGATTCCCTTTTAAATATCTATGTACATAATACCATGTAATACTGTTAATCAAACCCATGGTTATATATACTTAAATAAGAATTAAATAAACTGTCCCAAATGCTGATTTCCACATCACAAAACATAAGTATTTTAAATCACAACTTCTAGGTGGAATACTGAATACATTGGTTCTTTAGACAGTAGTAACAAGCCTATATTTAAGAATATATTTTTATCTATAGGTCAGGTAAAGCTTTATTAAATGGTAAACACTTTTAACAGTGCAGAAGACAACCTTGAAAGACCAATGCATTCAGAAGATTTGCTGTTCAAATAATATTTTTTCAAAACCAGGTGGCGGAGTATGATAAAATTCACTGAATTGGCAATCCAGAATTGCGCTGTCATCAACTAAATGATAGGAAAAAAGAAACAAGGCAAATTATTAGTCTATACCTTCTTTTAAATGAATACAAACTATGAAACAAACTATTTTCATAATATCATACTAATAATAGAAAAAAAAGGATAAATACTTTGGCTCTCCAGGTTGCCTAACATAGTCACAACAAAAGCCAAAAATCTACCTAAAACACTGCAGGGAATACACATCAGAATATTATTAATAAGTATCTCTAGGTCAGATATAATTATTTCTGCCAAGGGCCATGTGGCTATTTTTAACATCATTCATGGACCATCCAAAATTATCAACCCAAAAATTAGCCTGCTACAGATTTATTTAATTTTGAATCCTGCTTGTGGTTTCCCTGGCTAATGGCAAGAAGGTCAAGCCAAGTGATTGTCCAAGACTTTGACAGCCTGTAGGCCAGATATTCTTCATCTTTGCTTTCAATGATATGAATACAGATCATTTAGTTTACTTTGATTTTGTCCACCTACATTTTCTCAATTTTATACAACTTATGTATATGTATATACAATATATATGTATGTGTTACTTCAAAAATACAATGTGTATGTGTTGCATCAAAAATATTTTATTTTGAAAAAAACTATTGTTCCATAGGAAGTTGCAAAAACACTAGAGGGAGTCCAGGGTACTCTTCGTCTGCTTTGCCCGGGGGGGGGCGGTGCCATCACATGCAATTAAGGGTACAAGCTACCATTAAGAAACGGACAGTGGTGCACTATTGTGACCTAAACTTAAGCCCTTGTTCATGTTATTCACCAGCATTTACTGAGGGGAAACGAATGTATAAGCCCATACAAGACTTCAGCATGAATGTTCCTAGCACCTTTATTTGTAATGGCTCAAACTGGAAACAATCCTAAACACAGCAACCAATAAAAGGGTAAACAAATTGTAATATGTCCACTTGATGAACTGTATTCAGTAGGAATGAGTGAGTTACTGATGTTTGTTACAACATGGATACACCTGACATAATAACATTAAGTGTTAAGAAACCACACTAAACACATTTTGAAAAGTATGCCCTGAACAATCCTGTTTCTATAATACTCTAGACAATGCAAGCCACATAGCGGCAGAAAAGCAGATGAGTGGTTGCTTGTGGGGGCCTGGGTTAGACAGAGGCAAGCAGCAAAGATCATTAAGGGACAGAAGGAAACTCTAGAAGATGAGTTCTTTATTTTGACCATAATGATGGCAAAACAAAGCAAATATCACCATAATCCAAATAAGTAAACAATGGCACTGATGTCAAATAGTGATTATTCCATGGGGAAGGAATGCAGCTATGGCAGAGGTGGCGGTCTGGGCTATTCAACGGGTTCTGTTTCTTGACCTAAGTGATAATAATGTGGCTGTTCACTTTACAGCTACCTGTTAATGTTCAATGTGCATTAGTATTTTTACACAGGCAAAATTAGTTAAGAAGTAGACCTGAGCTCTCTGGAGTCTCCAATGATGTGTAACAAGAGTGTTCCAATGAAGTGGTGGTAATGGCAGTCAGACCGCCGTTTGTGAATGAGCAGTGACAATAAAGGCACTGGGTTGAGGCTATTTTCCAAGACACATGGCCAAACTACAGATACATTTTACTATAATTCACTTCCCATATTTTCCTACAGTAAAAGTAATACCTAATTTTTTAAAAAAGCAATGTAATGACATTTGTTAATTATGCACGTGCATAATTCAGTCATTATCTAGCTATTTTACCAGAAGTCATTTCAATAACAAGCTACATTTCCATTTTAAAAAGTAAACTAAAAAATTGCTTTTGGGCTTATCCAATATGCAATAAGATGAATTTAAAGCGAGCTTTAAAATGTAGTTTTACATGCAAAGATACAAAAAGTGAAAAAGAAAACCATGTTTAGAAAGAAGGAAGCCTAGTGAAAAACTTAAATGAAATTTAAATCATAAGTATGTTACATTTTATTTATTATTTATACTTATTGAATCCTTTTCTGAAGCCCAATCTGTCATCACTAGTAGTCATGAGAAAAGTTAAAAACTAGATTTTATGATCACAGAATTCTATGTTTTCATAAAATAACTAGGTGAGAAAATGAAAACTCACTAATGCCATAGAACAGCATTTACCATGGGCTTAAAGCTGCTAACACGAAAACTGAAGCAGAAGAGAGTGCTAAAGGCACTGAGGTTATTTATTTATAAAGTGAGAGGGACAGTATTTGTTTTAGAGATATGCATAAAATATTCAGAAACAAAGTGATACAGTGTGTGGCGATCTCCTTATAACAATCCAAGCAGGAAGGTGAACAGGAGCCTGCAGGAGATGAAACCCAATGGTTCAAGTTGTAAGTGTTCCAAGCTGAGTGCTGGGAACCTGACGGTGTACTAGCCGCTCCATAAATTCCCATCTCTAATTTCCACATCTTTGCAATTAAATCTCCTGGTCTTCAGTCTTTCCTTATAATGACTAAGAGAAGCTTTGTAACTTCAATAAAGCTTCTTGTAATTTTCTAGAATATAAAGCCACATGATAAGGGGGATGGGGCTATTGTATATTGTATAATCACTATATTTTGCAACATTTATTCAGTATGTGAGAAATAAAAGCCATTCTGAATCCTGCAAAGAAGGACTGAAACATACCACTGAGTATAAAAAGGACCTTATTAACAACTTTTCCAGACTTATGCTAGTTATAAAATTAGTACAAATGTCAAAAAAAAGTTAGCATCCAGCTAATGTAACAGAAATGTTTCAGCTTACCATAAACAACTGGATATACTGTCCCTCGTATACCTGATGCTGGACAGTGCATGTTTTTTCCATTCAAATATACATTTAACTCTACATGGTCATATGTAATACCCTATGAAGGAAAGAAAAGATGATTACATTATAAATATTCAGTAACAACCTAAAAAGTTAGAAGACATTGATTAGGAAGCATGGAATTAAAAAGTTAGCCTGGTGTTTGTACCCGAAATCTGTTTGTAACAGATTTCACTAAGGGTTTATAATTCAGTGAGTTCTATCTGAACTGCATAAAAAGATTAGTAGTGAGGAAGAAGCCAAGTAAAATCTCAAGAGTCTACATGAAAACAAAGATGGCGGTTTAAATCATAATACTATGTTTGGATAATCTTATTTTATATTTTTAATATTAAGATGTTATAGGCACTATATATCATAAACAGAGAGACCGTTAGAGCTCACACAGCACTGCTTTTCTCTATAAAAGCTGATCTTCAGAGGAGAAAATAAAGCTTTTACCACCAAAGCTTGCTACCTATCACTGTTTTCATATGGTGAAGAACATCCTTTTTTTTTTTAAACAGGAAAAAACATTTTAATAATGGAGAAAGCAGACAAACAACTTTCATCTTAACATGCCATACCACAACACAGATGCCAGAAGCAACCATAACCTTAATATCATCTGAATCAGTTAAGATGGTAATCAAAGGTTGGATGAACACCATCATAAGCTTCCCAACATGACACAACAACAACAACAACAAAAAGATGCGAGAAGAATACATAATTCACATTTCAACATGCTGGAAAAAACTAAAATTAATGAATTATCTGCAAAATAATTATATTGGATGCTTCAAAAATACCAAGGTCAGACACAAAAATAGGTAAACACAGGTGCTTAACAATATGGTCTAAAACAGAGAACTGAAACAAGCACATGGTCCTGACCCTGGGAGAAATGGCTTGCATTTTCATCTGGAGCAATTTAAAAATGTAAATGGACTATCAATGATATGAAAACATCGCATTAATATTAAACTTTCTGATCTTGATAATTACACTACAACTACACAGGAAATGTCCTTGTTTGTCTGAGGGGGAAATTGAAGAAGCAAAGGCAAAGAGGTCAATGTCCTCAGCTTGCTGTGTCCAGAGAGAGTGATGAAGGTGGAAGAGCAGAGCACAGACAACTGGTGAATCTGGGCTAACACCAAAGCGAAGTTACACTCCTTAAAGGAAGAGGTGAAGAACATCCTTATAAAACACATTGCCAACAAGAAATCAGACTTTTTTGGGTACCTCTTTGTAATTAAGGTAAATATAGTATTGATCACTGGTATGGATTTAAAAGTAGAAAAACAATAGCTCAAAGAGTTTTAAAAACACAATGGGGCCCGGCGCGGTGGCGCAAGTGGTTAAAGGTTCTCGCCTTGCACGCCCGGGATCCCATATGGGCGCCGGTTCTAATCCCGGCAGCCCTGCTTCCCTTCCAGCTCCCTGCCCGTGGCCCGGGAAGGCAGTTGAGGACCGCCCAAAGCTTTGGGACCCTGCACCCGCGTGGGAGACCCGGAAGAGGCTCCTGGCTTCGGATCGGCATAGTATCGGCCCGTTGCGCTCACTTGGGGAGTGAATCATCGGATGGAAGATCTTCCTCTCTCTCTCTCTCCTCTCTGTATATCCGCCTTTCCAATAAAAAAAAATAATAATAAAAATGAATCTTTAAAAAAAAAACACAATGAAATTTAAAAATTACTATACATTGTTACAGTAAAAGAAAAATCACAATTAGTGATGGTACTAATTAGGGTGCAGGAAAACAGTCCGTATCATGTATCAAGCACTTCATCTGTATTTCCTCACTGGAGCGTCACAGGACAGCTGTTATTATTTCCAGTTTATGGGGCAGCTAAGGCGCACAAAGGTCATGTAATTTAACTAAGGCTGCACAGCGAGAAGTGGCACAGCTGAGATTTAAACCCATGCAGTGAGGCTTCAGAAGTGCCTATGCTGCAACCCTCGCCTGAGACACTGGCATCCCATATGAGTGCCAGTTTGAGTCTGGGTTGCTCCACTTGTGGAGAACAGCCAAAGGTGACCCGAATCCGTGAGCCCCTGCTGCCTCTGTAGCAGACTGTATGGAGTTCCAGGCTTTGGCCGCCGCCTGGCCCAGCCCCAGTGGTTGTGGCCTTGTAGGGAGTGAACCAACAGATGGAAGAATTTGCTATGTTTTTTTCCCCTCTCTATATAACTCTGCCCTTAATGTAAGAAAACATATATATTTTTAAAGAATCAGGATAGACAGCAGAGATCTTCCAATAAGTGAAATCACCACTGACGATGATGTAAAGGACTTCCAGGACCTCAGTGCTTCTGAATGTGGATAAAGTCCATCAACTTCCGAGCTTTGTGGAGGTAGAAAGGTCTCCTGGCTCCTGTGGAATGCACTCCCTCCTCAGCACAGCAAAAGCCTGGGGAGGTCAGTGTGGCCAGTGCTGTAGAGTCCCCTCAAACCACAGCGCAGCCACGGTAAGACTAACCGGTTATGCATTAATATTAATCAACAGCATTGCTTATTAACATTGAGGAACATGTAGAGAGATAAAATAGTATACAGCTGGCTTTTGTTTCACTTTAGCGTATGTATTTAAGTATAACAAAGCTAAACTGATGCTTGGGATTAACTTTTTAAATGAAGACACATTTTTATTGAAAAACAAAAAAGGAAGTAATTACATACAAAATCTGACACTCTGTGTGGAACCACAGGAATTCCAGTAGTCCAGATCAGCTGACTTCCCCACCCAGGGCAGCAGGAGAGAGCCGGCTGCAAGGGAGGGGAGGGAGCCAGAACCTCCAGTTTGAGTGCAAAATCCCAACACCAAAGAGGGAAGTGAGGAAGGATGTGAGAACAAGTGCTTTCTAACCTAATCTGTCCTTTTCTAGGGTCTAGGAATCGCACGATTCTGCCATGTGACACCACAAAACACATGAGGATGGTTTTCCTGTCTTTCAACCCATTCTATTTTTCCCACACCACTGTCAACAGTGTGGCAAAACGTTTGAAACCAGGATGGTAAAGCTAATATGGTCATATTTTATTTTCTCTCAACTCCGTAGATATTTCATACATTTTCATTCTCTTATCAGAATGGACATGAAGATTCAAAGACCAGCTTATTAATGCTGACAGACTAAAAATGGCATTCTTCAACCTGCCATTTTGTAGTAACAGCCTTCGCAGTGAATGGGACCAGAGAGGAAGGCAAGAAACATACATCAACAAAGAAAACCATCTGCTACCGTTATCCTTTCTTATATTTGAAATTCATCTTTCAGTGCAAACAGGTTGACAGCACCATATTGACTTCAAAATTTTCTTTCAAAAACTATTTGAAAATGATGTTCCATTTAATGCACATCTGGCAATGATCTAGGAATACAGAAGAGAGAAAAGCAGATCTTATGCCTCAATCTTCATATCCTCTCCAGTCAATGTAGGAGGGGGCATGCTTTCAACAATTAAAAACTATTCTTCCTACTTTTTAAACTACAGAAAAGATCAACCATAATTAACAAACAGTCTTAATTTTCACACCTTTCTTGATTTTTCTTGCTAAGACATTGTGACTTTAACAGCCTCGATTTACCTTGCCTGTGTCATTTCCTAGATTTTATTTTAAGATTTACTTATTCTTATTTTGAGGGGCAGATTTATAGACAGGAGAGACACACAGAGAGATCTTCCCTCCAATGGTTCACTCCCCAGATGGCAGCAATGACTGGAGCAGAACCAGTGTGAAGAAAGGAGCCAGGAGCTTTTTCTGGGTCTCCCACATGGGTGCAGGGGACCAAGGACTTCAGCCATCCTTTGCTGCCCTCCCAGGCCATTAAAGGGAGCTGGATCAAAATGGAACAGAGAGACTAATCTGGTGCCGATATGGAAAGCCAGTGCTAGCAGGCAGATTAGCCTGCTGAACCTTTGTGCTGACACTAACTGGATCATTTTATTATGAGAAGTTCTCCCTTTCTTTTTTACAGATTCCTTCAACTTGACACCAGATCCCCAGTTCTGTGTTCAAGGGCACTGGGGCTAATGGAGACTTTGGGACCATGCTTTCAATAGCCTGATCTGTGGATAATACAATACAATAGAAAGTGTCTGGTAAAGTCAGAAAGACGTCTTTAGGTTTTGTGTGCAACAGGATGACTTTGGTAAATGTAGTAAATATATTCCACTGGGAATATGACAGAGAATTCTTAAATAACATGTACCTCTTACTATCCTCTGTTTTCCTGTTTTCTTAAAAACAAACACACATACTTTCCTACAATCAAGCTTTAGGATTTGGAATCTAGCTGTTTTAAGAATTCTATCAGTAAAGGAAGTTTAATTAGATTAATGTTTAAGACCAACACTTTGTGATAAAAACGCTGTCATTCTGTAACAGTTTTGTAACAATTCAATACAGGGATTTTTAAAAAAGTGAAAATTTTCTCTGAGAGGCCTGGCTTCACAAATCTGTACTGCTTTCTGAGACAAAAGTCAGCACAATCTTAACTTTCAAAGTCATGGTTTCTGGAACACAAGAGAAGCCAGAAATGCTCACCAGTGGCCAGCCTGCCATTACTGCTGCTGGCTGAGGGCAATTCTAAAATGAGGGCAGTTAGGCGGGGAAGCAACCTCTGCATCAGGCGCTCTCTCCAAGAAACGCACACACCTCCCCATTAGGTGCACTTGAGACTGGAGAGAAACAGGACTCATAAAGCCAAGCTTGCCCCCAGCCAGACACACATCCAGCTCCAAATCCACCAGGAGCAAGAAGCATCCACATTTTAGCACTCAAAGCTCAACAGACCTCCGCTACCAACGGCCTGAGTGCATGCCTGCAGCAGCCCAATGCTACCCACGTATGTGTCATTCTTGGGGTGGAGGTGGTAAGCTGCACCTTTGGCATGCAGTTTGTACAAGCCCAACAAATAGAAAGCTGTTGAACAAAACATTGGGTCAGGTGCTAACTGAGGTGCCACAACAGAAGGGACAAGCCAGAACACACAGCTGGGAACACACAGAAATGTCCTACGATGAGCCGGGAAAACGCCCTGCCCAGTTACCCCGGTTCATTCAGGGTGGTAGAACCTCTCCTGGATATGCTGTCTCCTTTCTGCACACGCATAAGGCCTGATTAAACTTATCTGGGTTGTTGTATGGGCCTTCTGTCAATTTCCATTGCAAGGCAAAGAATCTGGAGTCAGTATCACAGTGTGCTTTGGAATTCAAAGTCCCAACAAGAGCACATATGTTGCAAGCAATGGAGTTTAGTAAGTGATGGTTGAGATGTGGTCCACCAGGACACTCACCACCACGTCCCCCTCCTGCGGGAGGCTGTTTGCAGGTAGCCTGTTCTTTTCTTCATTGTTGTGGTACAGGGCTCCATCATTTCTCATGACCAGGCTGTGTGTATCCCGGCCCAGAGGGATCTGATTCAAGTTAACTTTCTGAGTTGCAACACCAACACCCCAGATTCCTGAAAAACATAATAGTTTAAATGCTCCCCAAAAAACAAACTGGTTTTCAAGGATCTGCCATGTTATTACTACATTGATTTCTGTTTATATACATATATATATATTTCAATCTAAAAGTAGCTTGCAAATTTTACTATATTCTTTTCACATGCAGTGCAGTTTAGAAGAAGGTTGCCATCCCGGCGTGATAGCTGTGGCTCAAGTCCTCGCCTTGAACGCACCAGGATCCCATAGGGGTGCCAGTTCTAATCCCGGCAGCCCCACTTCCCATCCAGCTCCCTGCTTGTGGCCTGGGAAAGCAGTTGGGGACGGCCCAGAGCATTGGGACCCTGTACCCCCGTGTGGGAGACCCGGAAGAAGTTCCTGGCTCTTGACTTCAGATAAGAGCAGCACCGGCCGTTGCAGTCACTTGGGGAGTGAATCATCAGATGGAGGACCTTCCTCTCTGTCTCTCCTCTCTGTACATCTGCCTTTCCAATAAAAATAAATAAATGTTTAAAAAAAGAGAGAGACGATAAGAAGGTTGTGTCATACTGGAGCTGCGTCCAAGTTAAATTCTGACTTAGCTCCATATTATCTTGGGCAAATAAGTTAATCTGTTTCCTCATCGGTGAACTGTGGATTCTATGGCACACACCTCAGGAAGTCACAAAAGGATACTAGAGACAATTCCAGTGAAGTATTTATTTGGAACAGGGTAAGCAGATAAAAACTCAAAAAAGAGGGAAGGATGAGTAAAGCACATAGCAAATATTAAAAAAAAATCTAGCTATTCCAATTATTTTTCAGAAAAGATTTTTCAGAGTCACACACAGAATTCCAATGACCTAGAGTTCGCTCTCAAGCTGCACTCTGCCAAGGGGCCAGCTGTTCTCAGTGTTTCTACAGTAAGTGACAGGTAATAGATGCCATCAGCAATACGCAAAGCAGATGAACAAGGGCGTGTCAGCTTGCTTTCTTGCCCAGCATCTTAAGTTGGTCAGTTTAAAACCATTTCCTCTGACTTTTAAAGCAAGCTTTCTATCAGTCAAATGGAACACACAGAGCACTGGATTTTTATTTCAAATTGTTTCCTTTTCTGTTTTTTTTTTTTTTTAATGAAAACTAGGAAGAATGCTAAAAGTAGAAGAAAATTTGAAGACTACTGTCAGTGTGTTATTTTTTTCTGGATTGAGATAATTAGAAAGTTGTGTGTTCAGGCTGGACCACTGTGGCCGCCAGCCGTAGGATTCAGTCTCCCAAGGGGGCACAGGGCAGTGATAGGAGGTCTAATATTGTTTCCAGAGGACAGTAATTTGCAGACAGCATCCTCCAGGACCCTTCCTCTTACAGAACTGGGCACCATCACCTCAAGCTTTCGCTGCAAGACCAATGCTGCAAACTCCAGCAATCATTTATTACAGGGATATCATCTAGGGTAGTCTTTTTTATAGGAAATCCACATAAAAGTCTTCATACGATTTAAAGTTCAAGAAAAATATCTGCTTCTCTTGAGAAACAAGTATGACAAACTTGATAAGATTATAGTAACTGGGATATGTTGCAGCTAGTGAACCAGATTAGGATGGAATGGAAAGAACAGACTCAGACTTGTTTTGCACACTTAAGAAAACCAGTATCTAAAACTCATTTAGAAAACAAACTCTAGAGATATGTTTTCTCTCATTCAAATCTCTTAAATAAGAGCGGGACTTACTCCAACCTAGTTTCCCTACTTTGTAGCCAAAGTATGCAGCATTTTTGGTAGAGGTTTTCTGGTTTGACGAAAAATACACATATACATATACACACATACCCCACATATGCAAAGTCCCATTTTAATACTACTACAACTTAAAATAATCACAAAAATGCTATACAACTCAAAAAATTTCATACAACATTTTTAAAAAGTACAGATTTCAGACTTCTAAATCTAATGATTGCTTCAGAAAACACTGCATCAGATGATCTTAGTAAGAATTCAGAGAGAAAAGATTAAAAGACTCATTTTGTGCTAAAATAGCAAGGGTCTAATATATGCCAAATACGATGGTGTATCTAGGCCCCATTAACCGTGCTGCTGCCTATTCTGAAAACACTTTTATACACAGAACATTACAAGGTAGAAAGGGCAGCTCTTAATTCTCATTTTAAAGATGAGATAACTATTTAAACAGTATCTCAAAAAAGTAAATGCAACACTTAGGTCTTGAGTATGAATTTGGTGATTTCACATTTTCACCTGAATATTTTGATATATATGTTGAAAATTACTATTGATATCTGGAACAATTAAGACTTTTAATATCAAAGTACTATAATACCAACCTGTAGACTGGATTTTGAACTCGAAGTAGCTTTTGTTTTGATGTAAAGGGGCACTGGCCAGACAGCCTCCTGTTCCACATATTCTTCTTCCATTCTTTACAATGACAACATCTGTCCCTAAACAAAAATGCAGATGCTCCGTTAGCTTTCATATCTTCATAGCAAATCATCAGTTTGTTCACTTCTAAATGTTTATCTACTAACAGGGATGTCTGTATGTATTTTGAAATACAAAAATACTGATAAATTGTTTTAACACATAATTTACCTTTTTTCTAACATTTATATTTGTAGCTACAAATCTTGTTTAGGTAATTTCAAATAGCCTATAATACCTCCAAATTATACTGAATATTTAAAACTATGCTGAAATAGGTAACACTGAAAAATGCTGATTTATGATATTAACATGTTGCTTAGGATAGCTGTTGTCAATCACATTGAAAATAAGTGAATCAGGGCCCGGCGGCGTGGCCTAGCAGCTAAAGTCCTCACCTTGAACATGCCAGGATCCCATAGGGGCGCTGGTTCTAATCCCAGCAGCTCCACTTCCCATCCAGCTCCCTGCTTGTGGCCTGGGAAAGCAGTCGAGGACGGCCCAAAGCCTTGGGACCCTGCACCCACGAAGCAGACCCAGAAGAGGCTCCTGGCTCCTGGCTCCGGATCGGCATAGCATCAGCCATTGCGTTCACTTGGGGAGTGAATCACCAGACAGAAGATCTTCCTCTCTGTCTCTCCTCCTCTCTGTATATCTGACTTTCCAATAAATAAATAAATCTTTAAAAAAAAAAAAAAGAGAGAGAGAGAGAAAATAAGTGAATCAGGGTTTAACTCCAGTAACTGTAATATACAAAACTAGTTTTAACTCAAATGATCTTCAATACCTATCATTTATAAGTCACGCCTTAGGAAAGCATGTGTACCAGAGAATATAAACAGATGAAACATAATTTCTTTTTCTTTAAAGATTTATTTTTTATATTTTTATTGGAAAGTCCAGATATACAGAGAGAGAAGGCGAGGAAAACAGAGAGAGAGGAAGATCTTTTGCCTGTTGATTGACTCCCCAAGTGGCTGCAATGGCCAGAGCCAGGCTGATCTGAAGCCAGGAGCCGGGAAACTCTTCCTGGTCTCCCATGTGAGTGCAGGTCTCAAGGCTTTGGGCCATCCTCCACTGCCTTCCCAGGCTATAAAGAGGGAGCTGGATGGGAAGTGGGGTCGCTGGCATTAGGACTGGCACCCATATAGGATCCCAGCACATGTAAGACAAGGACTTTAGCTACTAGACTACTGCACCAGGCCCAACATAATCCTAGTATGAGAATATATCCCATACCAAGGCTATGGTGAATTATTATCACTTTGCTGGGAATTATGTGTAGAAACTGAGCAGGTCTGGATTTAAAACGGTAATACGACTCCTCCAGAGGGGATTAAACAAAATCAGGGTACAGTACAGAAAGTTGAATTCATATTAAATTAAGAATTATTTGAGACCAATACAAAAAAGAAATGCAACATTGTCAGATCCTGCTACAATTCCAAACTGGCTGTTAAGACAGTTACATTCTCTCAAGGCAAAACTAAGGTCCTACTGTGTGATTATTTAAAAAACAAACAAAAAAACACTACCATTCTTTGTTTCCTAATTAAAAATGTTAAATCTTGCATTTTGGGTTTCTTTTTAAAATATTTATTTATTTTCATTAGAAAGTCAGTTATACAGAGAGGAAGACCTTCTGTCCATTGATTCACCCCGTTAGAGGCCACAATGGAAAGAGCTAAGCCGATCCGAAGCCAGAAGCCAGAAACCTCCTCTGAGTCTCCCATGCGAGTGAAGGGTCCCAAGGCTTTCGACTGTCCTTGACTGGAACTGTCCTTGGCAGGGAACTGGATGGGAAGTGGGGCTGCTGGGATTAAAACCAGTACCCACATAGGATCCTGGTGCATGCAAGCTGAGGATGTTAGCCACTAGGATACCACACTGGGCCCAAAACAAACATTTTGAACAAGAACTTTATAAATAGTTTGCATCTTGTTGCTCCACATATGTGCAGTAGGTTCGTAATGGAGAGCTTCCTCTTTGGTGGCAAGGACCATGGAGGGCCTGGCATTTAGAAGATGCTCGACAAGGAATGAACGCAGGTAGGCTGGGCCGAGCACGTGGTATGGACATTCGGCACCTGTTTTCCCTTTTCCAACACACTTCCTTCTGATACCAAAGCAGTTCTAATGATATGAGCTCAGTCTCTGGCTTCACATGGGAAGCATTGGGCCTGGTTGCCAGTCACTGCATTGCACATTTTTTGGCCATAGTGGCTGGTCAAAAATCGTTATGGGACCTAACTAACCACCATGAGAGAGTGTCTCAAGACTTCTTGTGCAGAACACAACAGGATAAACACACCCACTCCTTGCTGGGCCTGAGTGAGGACGCCTACCATCCAGGGAGCTGCTGGAGGTGACCATGGAAGCCAGTCCTTATGCAGAAACGACACAAGCAAGGGAGGCAGATGAGAAGAAACTGAGTTCTTGGCAGTGCGGGGTCATTCTGCTGCCAGTCCTGCCTTTCTACACCTTGCTTACAGGAACCCATAGACTCTGCAAACAATTCTGAGCTGTCATTTTTACTTCTTACAACAGAAAGCATCCCCAATGAAACACATTTCCAAGAATTACACAAATAAAATGGTATCCTCTTCCCTTTTACATTTTAAGGATCTATTTTTCTTGGAAACTGCAGGCACTTCCCCCTTAAGTAGCACTATTCTGTGGTCCCCATACATACTAGAACCTTCTAATAACAAGTGTGTATAGTAGATAGCATAGTCTCTTGGATGTTGCTGCAAGGTGATAATGGAAATATGAGAAGACCCTCAATCTCATAGAGTCTGCTAGCGAGCTGGAACTACAGAAATGGCATTTCTTTACTTCAATATTATTCTCTCTAAAGCATGTCTTTCTTTTAAAGTTTTATTTATTTGAAAGGCAGAGAGAGGGAGACACAGAGATCTTCCATTCACTGGTTCACTCCCCCAAATGACTGTGCTAGGCAGGGTTGGGTCAGGCCAAAGCCAGAAGCCAGGAACTCCATCAGGGACCCCCCACAGGGGTCCCAAGTCCTCAGGCCATCATCTGCTGCCTCCTCAGATGATCAGAGAGTAACTTTCTTTTCTCTTTCACTTGATTTAGGGTTCTCAAATCAAGTTTGGAGAAAGGAAGGCCTTTGGTCTAAGTCCAATGGGCAAGTGTGTAGCGGAGAAACAAGATGCTCCAACGAGCAGACTGCAGGAATTCAAGAGTCTGGTGGCAGTGACTGGAAGAGGAGGAACTGGTCCCTGTCTTCTTATCCCTGACACAATGCCTGCCACCCCACAGACACTCATGTCAGTTGAGCAAATCAGTGAAACAGAAACGTTTTCTATCTCTCAATAATGATCCAAGATTATTTATGTATTTAAGTTCTGTACTCCCTTTAGAAATTCTCAGAAAGGAAAGGACTATAAACACTCAAATGCAAGGTATTATCAATGATCCCGTTTAGTATTATGGAAATATAAAAAAATGTAATAGGCTGTTTTCTGGTTTATAAGACTGGTACTTGTCTGTTATTTGCATTGCAGCTTTAGACACTGTCTTGTGGGAACACCGATAGTACACAAGTCTGTTTAGAAGAAAAGAGACACTGCGTGAAATAATTTTGTTGGGAAACCTCTCCTTCAAGCGTGACACTCTTGGAAAGCTAGGGTTAAAGTCTAAAGAGAACTACACTAAGGCGGAGGAACCGGACGAATGGTAAAGGTGAGAAGTGACGGGGCAAACTGGAATTGAAAGAAGGGGAAAAAACAATATAGATACAGAGCAGCAAAGCTCAGCTTTCTTTTGCAACTGCCTGACCTGTTGGGAGGAGGCCAATGTGATGAAATTACAGCACCTCTGACAGTGACTAAGGCGGAGGTTTTAGCTGAAGCAGCCTGTTCTGACACGACGTCCGACGACAGACTGCTGCAACCCGCCTCGTTTGGGCTTTGGGAGGGGAAAATGGAAACCACTTCCAATAATAATAATAATAATAACAACAGTAAGAGTAATAATAAAGCTTATAAACGGGGTGGGGGGTAGGAGGCAAAGCGAAACCACCGAGCGTCAGGGCCGAATGAGCAGGACTTCCAAAGCCATCTGAGCAGGTGCAGGTCTCGGGCTGGAGCGAGGCTCCTCAGGCGGGGAACACCTCACGTCGTGGGCAGCTCCGGGGAGACAGGCTCCCGGGCAGGGCGCCGAGGTCAACACACCCACTCCCGATGACAGGCGCAGCCCCGGACGGACGGGCAGTCGGGCCCAGGCAGAGTGGCTGCGTCGCAGGGGCCCGCGAGACGCCAGGCGGCCGGAGAAGCGAGCCGGGACGGGGGGCAGCGTGGCGTGTGCTCTGGCGGACCCCGCACTGCCTCCTCGGCCCCCCGCGGGCCGTTGGGTGCGCGGAAGACCGGTCCTTACCCATGTGCTGCGTGTCCAGCTGCACGGCCGGCATCTCCTTTAGAGGGATGTGGCCTGTCCCGCCGTCTCTGCAGCAGCGCAGGCAACACCACACCGAGGAAGCCATCGCGCAGGGACCTCCGCCGCCCGTCCTGACAGCGCGGCGACACCGCACCCCCTGCGCTCGGCTCCTCCTGCCACCCAAGACCCGACGCCCCAGGTGACAGCCCGCCGCTACAGCGACACCTCAGGCCGGGAGGGCGCAGCGCAGGCGGAGGGGAGGCGGGCTGTGGGGAATCGGCGGCAGCGCCGGGTCGGGAGGTGGGCGGGGCCGGGGCGTGGCGGGGGCGTGGCTTGCGCGGAGGGCCGTGAAGGACGTGCGCCTGCGCGCCAGGTCGTTTCCGGGCTTGCACCCCGTCGCGCCCGCCCCCGAAGCCAACAGGTGAGTGTGGCTTGGCTGTAAGGTTTTGGAATGTTGTGTATTATAACCTGTGCCCTTCCCTCGCCCTGACGTTGTTTTAAGGGATGGGTTGAACTAAGCAGGTAAATCTGAGGGAGGAGGAGCTAATAAAAATGATCTCAGGTTTCCCTCCACGCTCCTAGAGCTGTGGGATCTTGGTGGCTCCCACCGCCCAAGAAGGATTTCCTTATACCTCACTCCTAGAGTAGCCTTAATGACTGTTCGTGGTTGTCTTGTGGATGTGTGTCCAGGTGCACTGAGGGCTGTTAAAAAAGAACCCCAAAAGCTGCCGAGTCCGTTGGATTCGCGGGTGGCTGTAGGTTCGGGTCCTGCGCGCTGGGCGTCTGGACATGGTCAGGGGCTGGCCTGGCTCAAACCCCTGTTCTCCAGTCAGGCCTCATCAGGTCCGGGGAAATCCGACTTAAGCTACCAAGTCCTGAGTAGTGGGTCCTACGTGTGGTTTCTTAGTGAACTTAGTGCGAATATTGTGTACAAGGGGGCTTTAATCCACAGAACGAGGGAAATTTTTTAGGTCCTTAGATTTCTTTGCTGCCTTTACAAATTATGTTTTTAATATCTTACTGAGGAAACTCACGTCTTATCTTTGAGATTTATCAATCACAGAGTTAGTGACCAACCTGAGTTTCGAGCTGATTGTGAGTTCTGGCTCTCCTGTACCCATAAAGTTCTTTATTACAAAACACTTTACACTTGAAATGTAACTTTCCTGCAAACCTTGACCATTTTTATGGGAATGTGTTTTACTCTTCTGCCATGGGGGACTTGAATGGAATAATGAAGAGGCACTTTTTTTACTGGCACTTTTTCTCAGATTTAACCCAATTCTCACAAGGTTTCAAGACTGATTTTTGTTTCCATTCTAGATGAACAAATAGGCCTAGAGCGACTAAATAACTTGTGCACAGTAAAGGACGCAAAGGGTAGCAGTCAAAACTTGCCAGTATGCCTCCTTGGCCTAGTTTACTGCAACAGAAATGTTCTGATTTTGTAGTTTTACCTCTATATTTAATATCTAAGATACATTTCCTTTTCCTGTGGAAGAGCAAGCAAGAGAACCCCCCCCCCCCCACGTCAGTTCATTCTCCAAATATTGGCAATGGCTCTGAGCTCAGTCAGGTGCCCCCTGTGGATGGCAGGCAGGCAGTGCCTGAGCCATCATTGTGGCCTCCCTGCGTTCATTAGCAGAAGGCCGACCTTGAACCTCAGCGCTCTGATTGCCACCGTCCCAGCCGCTAGGCTCAGTGTCCACTGTCTGTCGCTCTGACTTGCCACGGACAGCTCACGTTCATGAGCTCACAACTCATGGACAACCAAATTACTCGTTCCAATCTAATATTAAAAAGCAGTGTATATAGTAAATAGGTAATCAAAGTTTTAGTGACAGCTGTAGGCCATTCAGGTCGGTCACGTCTTCAGTGAAGTCAGACTACCAGACAGCAGGGAAGGATCCATTACTGTGTAGCCAGGCAGGAAGTCCCGTGCTGTTGCCTGACTTGTGGGGCCTTCGCTCAGGGCACCTTGCTTCCGCCGTGACAAGTCCAGTGTGCTCTACAGGAGGAAGCAAGCCAACCCAGTTAGCCCCTCAGGCCCACTTCCCTGGATGGCAGATGAGTGCTGTCCAGGAGATCACGGACTTTTTTGCTTTTCTTACAGCTGGGATTCTGGCATCATTTCATTATGATTTTCAAAGGAATTATTCTTTTTGAAAATCACGATGTTGGAGAGAGTTTGACAGCCTTTAAAGGTTGTTGCTTTCAATAACACAAAGAAAAGCCTGCAGGAAAGCATCTTCACAGTTAGAAGGTCATTTATCCAAGTCAAGAGCAATCGTGAAGAATGAGTGGCAGGCCAGGAGCTGAGGAGTGGGTGGGACAGTAATGTGAAGCAGGTGTTTCAGGCTGAGTGGTCCAGCATGCTCAGGAGTGACTGGCCTCTGTGCAGCCAGACATCTATGAATGAACACAGCATGGACTGGGTCACAGAAAAATAATCTCTTCCTTAAAAACTCATCCATCAGTAAGTCAAACATTGTTTTCTTGGATTAATCTAAACCACATTAGTGATCTTTAAAAATTCATAAATATTGCAGAAACCTTCAGATTTCTAATAACCAACATGTTTCTGGGGTCTTGGTCTGCTTATTATTCTATGCTGGAGTCATGGTAGCATTTATGCAGTTCTGACCACACTGCCAGGCAGAATTCTCAGAGCTTTCTTGTCCCAACTGTAGGAGGAAAAAGTCACCCTCCGCTTAGGGCTGAGGAGATGGGGCGAAGAAAAGATGAGAAATATGTCAGATGTCAAGAGAAAGAAAGCTGGAGTCGAATTGGCAGTCTGGCTCAGTTGTCTCTATTCTTAACCACTGGGTGAACTGCCTCTTTAAGTCCTTGTTTTCATTTCCTTCCATCCCCTTATCTCACAAGTTGACATTTATGGTTTCCTTGCAGTAATTGTACTCATTTTTTTTTTAAAGATTTATTTTTATTATTTTTTTATTGGAAAGGCAGATATACAGAGAGGAGAGACAGAGAGGAAGATCTTCCGTCCGATGATTCACTCCCCAAGTGAGTGCAATGGCCGATGCTATGCCAATCTGAAGCCAGGAGCCTCTTCCAGGTCTCCCACACGGGTGCAGGGTCCCAAAGCTTTGGGCTGTCCTCGACTGCTTTCCCGGGCCACAGGCAGGGAGCTGGAAGGGAAGCGGGGCTGCCGGGATTAGAACCGGCGCCCATATGGGATCCCGGGCGTGCAAGGTGAGGACCTTAACCACTTGTGCCACCGCGCCAGGCCCAATTGTACTCATTTTAAAAAAAGATTTATTTATTTTTATTGGAAAATCAGATGTACAGAGAGAAGGAAAGACAGAGAGGAAGATCTTCCGTTCGGTGATTCACTCCCCAAGTGACTGGAACAGCCAGAGCTGTGCTGATCCGAAGTCAGGAGCCAGGAACTTCTTCCAGGTCTCCCAGCGGGTACAAGGTCCTAAGGCTTTGGGCTGTCCACTGCTTTCCCAGGCCTCAAGCAGGGAGCTGGATGGGAAGTGGGGCCATCAGGTGTTAGAACCGGCGCCCATATGGGATCCCGGGTGCATTCAAGGCAAGGACTTTAGCTGCTAGGTCACTGCGCTGGGCCCAATTGTACTCATTTAATCTGGACTCACTGCATTGTAATGGGTTGCCTACATTCAACAGCTAGGAAGTCCTGAGTTTATCTGCTACAGCAGGCAGCCATTGTTGGCTTACTGCTGTGCCCCGCAGTAGTATGCCTTGCTGAGGAGCTATCTGAAAAAAAGGCTGTCTGGAACTTCAGGTTCTTTCATATGGGTAACACAGACTGGAGAGACTTGGAAAAATTCAGAGCTCTGGCCTTAGCAGGAAAAAGATAATGTAAATTCAACTAATTTGAAAAAGTTAAAAAAAAATTAAGAACAATATGTGGTATAGCAAGCTAATCCTCCACCTGTGGCTCTGGCATCCTGTAGAGGCGCTGGTTCATGTCCGATTTATTTTTATTGGAAAATCAGATTTATAGAGAGAAGAAGAGACAGAGAGAATGATCTTCTGTCTACTGGCTCATTCCCCAAGTAGTTTCTTCCGGCGCCCATATGGGATCCTGGGATCTGGGTATGCAAGTTGAGTACTTTAGGCACTAGGCTACTATGCTGGGCCCCTGCTGCTTCACTTTCAGTCCAGCTCCCTGCTTATGGCCTGGGAAAGTTGCAGAGGATGACCCAAAGCCTTGGGACCCTGCACCCACGTGGAAGACCCAGAGGAAGCTCTGGCCAATGCAGCCATTTGGAAAGTGAACTAATGGATGGGAGACCTCTGTTTTTCCTCCTCTCAATAAAATCTGCCTTTCAAAAATAAATAAATAAATAAATAAATAAATAAATATTTTGGGTCTGGCATGGTAGCTTAGTGACTCAAGTCCTCACCTTTTATGTGCTGGGATCCAATATGGGCGCCGGTTCATATCCCAACTGTTCTACTTTCTCTCTAGTTCCCTGCTTGTGGCCTGGAAAAGCAGTAGAGGACATCCCAGAGCCTTGGGACTCTGCACCCGGGTGGGAGACATGGAAGAAGCTCCTGGCTTGGGATCAGCTCAGCTCTGGCCATTGCAGCCATCTGAGGAGTAAACCAGCAGGTGAAGATCTTCCTCTCTGTCTCTCCTCTCTGTATGTCTGCCTTTCCAATAAAAATAAATGAACCTTTAATAAATTTTTTTTTTTTAGATTTTTTTTTTATTATTATTTTATTGGAAAGGCGGATATACAGAGAGGAGAGACAGAGAGGACATCTTCCGTCCGATGATTCCCTCCCCAAGTGAGCGCAATGGTCGATGCTATGCCGATCCGAAGCCAGGAGCCTCTTCCGGGTCTCCCACGCGGGTGCAGGTTCCCAAAGCTTTGGGCCGTCCTCGACTGATACACAGTGCAGATACTTAATACACTATTAAAAGAGATGTGAGACTTTGACAAAAGAAAAAAAGGTTAAGATACTGCAATTTTCAAAATTGTTCAGAATCCGTTTTACATTTTCTTAATTCATTGGTACCTGTTATATCGTGAGCGCTCAGTCAACACTTACTGAAAGAAGAAATAAATGAAACCCCAAACAAGTAAATGAAGTATATTATACTCCATTTTGTGTAAAACATAGAAAGTACCATGTAAACTAAATTCTCAGATGGAAGAATTCTCAGTTAAATGCCCT